GGGGGGGTCATTGGGAGAGCAGGGGAGATTGGTGGAGGGCGGGGGGAACCAGCCGCTGGAAGCAGGGCTGGACTGGGGAGATTGGGAAGAGAAAGAGGGGGGAGTGGGACTGACCTGAGCACATGCAGACCCTGGCAGATGAGTGAGTCTGGCCGGGATTCCATTTTGCCCCGCCCCACACATACCTTCCCTGAAGTAGTTGAGAACTGCCTGGCAGGTAGACACACTCAGACAGCGTGAGCACATCTACCAGCCAGGCAGCTACGGACTAATACACCTAATTATAATAAAACGTACCTAATTAGAAAGTACCAGGCATTTTATATGTCTGGTAATTTCTCAATTTCTTTCCCAGACAAAACCTTCAAATACACCGGACACCTGGCAATTCTACCCTTTCTTGCACCCTCCCTCTTAGCCAGATACCCTATCCCCAATCTGCTCCTGCTCCCGCCTCCTGAAGTGCTCATGTGGTGCCGGGTCCCCCAAGCCCTGGCCCAGGCTGGGTGGAGGATGCATCCGGCTGAAACACTCAAAATTTATTCATTTTTCATTCTTTTTTTTATATGCGGTTATATTTTTGGGCTGCAAAAGACAGTACTGAAAAAAAAACGGGTTCCAACTAAAATAAAAAGTTTGGGAAACCCTGATCTAGCCAGCTTTCTATCCATCTTACAGTCCATTTATCCAATCCATATTCCCTTAACTTGCTGGCAAGAATATTGTGGGTAACTATATCAAAACTTTGCTAATGCTGGCACTGGGGGCTTTGGGAGGACCAGAAACAACTTATTTGAATATTCATCATTTGCTTATTGAATATGCAAATATGCAAATGAATGTCACAGGACCTCCAAAAGCTCGTGAATGGATTTACTGGTCCCCATGTCAAAAAAAGTTTTGGAACCCCTGCTATAAAATATCAGAGCGCCTGTGATGCTACAGAAGCAGAGCACACAGTGTGAGGAGTTGTTATGGGCAGCAAAGGCGGGGCAGAGCCATGTGACTTCCCTCTCAATTGCTGCAGTGCCGCGGTAACCGCTTGTGGCACCGCTGTATTTGGCACAGTGCTGGTCGACTCCATGCTCAGTGCAAAGCTTTGTGAGGCAGGCATGATGTGGCCTGTAGCCTCTGGTTGGACACCCTGTGTGGCGCTTTTATAATGAGTTCAGACTGCACCTGGGGTACCCGGTTTATAATAAAATGCAGGACAATGTAGCACTTTAAAGAATAACAAGATGGTTTATTAGATGATGAGCTTTCGTGGGCCAGACCCACTTCCTCTGAGGAAGTGGGTCTGGCCCACGAAAGCTCATCATCTAATAAACCATCTTGTTATTCTTTAAAGTGCTACATTGTCCTGCATTTTATTATAAACCGGGTACCCCAGGTGCAGTCTGAACTCATTATAAAAGCGCCACACAGGGTGTCCAACCAGAGGCTACAGGCCACATCATGCCTGCCTCACAAAGCTTTGCACTGAGCATGGAGTCGACCAGCACTGTGCCAAATACAGCGGTGCCACAAGCGGTTACCGCGGCACTGCAGCAATTGAGAGGGAAGTCACATGGCTCTGCCCCGCCTTTGGTTTATCATAGGTACCGAGGAGTGGCTTGTCAGGATTAGCCGACTGCCTCTCAACTGAGCGCTGTTTTGGCGAGCACAGGTTTTGTGGAAGCGAGGTGGCCCGTTTCTTTGGGGGATTTAAGCAGTTTATCCCTTTGTCGTTGGTGGTCTGCCTGGAGCCCAGGTCTGAGGAAGGGTGTTTGCCCTTGTCTGTGAGAATCATTTTTAAACGGAGGTCTCTGTCTCTCTGTGTACGTGCTTTTAATTTGCCGCAGTGTAGACAGTCCCGCTGGGAGTGGGAGTGCCCAAGGCACTTAACACATTTATCGTGGGCATCTGAGGCCAGCATAACATCACTGGAGTCTGTGCAGCATTTGAAGCCAGGTGAGCCTGTCTCTCAGTGATATTAATGAACGGCTAGAGGAGCCGGTTGAGGCGAATGGCGGGTTTTTGGGGGGGGAGAGGTTGTTTGTTTTTTCTTTTTTCTTCTTCTCTAACAACAACTAGGGAGAAAAAAAAACTTGGAATAAACTAATTATCTATCTAACAGTCTCTAGAAAGAATGAGGATTGAGGAGCACTGCAGAGGTCCCTCTGAAGCTGGGGACAGTATAAAGGAACTGAAGGGAAGGTGGCCACACACAGTGGTGGCCCATCAATACAGATGAACTAGACGGTCACCTAGGGCGCCAAGATAAATGGCTGTTGAGGACTTTGGAGGTGGGGGCGCCAATCACGTGCTTCACCTAGGGTGCCAGTTGCCGGCAGCTCGTCTAGGGCCACTCCTGGCCACACATGCGCGATGATGCGGAGAGGCCTGAGCAAATCGTGCGCTGCACAAGTGCTGCCCTAATGCATTACTATCAAAAATCCACTCTGAAATGCTGGGACGCACCTACAGCTACTGTGGAGCACCCCCAGGGATGTCTCTCAAAGAGAATTACACCAGCCACAGCAGGTTAGGCATTTTAGAACTCACAACTCAAATAATTAAATTTAAGCATGAGAGAAATGAAAATTATGAAATGCACAGACCAGTCGAAACCAAAAGTAACACACTTTGCAAGCAATAAAAGAAGTAACAACAACCCCCCACGTGTGTGCTGGGTTGGGAAATGAGAGGGTGTGTTTGTGAGAATGACAGACACACACACAATGTGTGAGAGTCACAGAGATTTGTATTGCCAAGCTCCCTCCATCCCCTTCTCTCTGTGTGAAGATAAAGTACAGGAGTGGGGGGCAGGGGATAATTCTGACATCAGCACACCCCCCTCTTCTCCCTCCCACACCCAACAGGGGGCAGTTCCAAGACAGAAGGCAGGAGGAGCATGACAGTGGGTGGAAGGGCAACTGAAGTACCAACACTTGATAGCTTCCTGGCCAAGCCAGTTAGGATCACCTGTTAGAGGCTCCAAGATCTACTGGTAGATCCCAATAATAAAAGCTCATGATACTATCTACATGTTTTGTTAGTCTTTAAAGTGCTGCTAGACTATTCATTGTTTTTTACGTTTTTCCTCTCCTCTAGGTTATGCCATTTGGAATTGTCAGATATTACTCTTTTCTGAAAAGCACAACCCATGTGTCATGCAGAAGCCTGGCTTTCGTAACATGTTGGGTGAACACATCACACTGGTGTCCTGCACACACAGGTGGCTCCCTGTCTGCTTTCACACCCAATGCAAAATCCCAATACACAAGACTTTCTGTGAGTCAGACCATCTCAGATCCACTGAGCCAAATGAATTCCATAGGGATACTATAGAAACCTTGAGAGGTTGTGGAATCTCCATCATTGGAAATAGTTAAGAGCAGGTTAGACAAACTTCTGTCAGGGATGATCAAGATGGTGCTTGATCCAGCCATCAGTGCAGGGGGCTGAACTGGATGACCTCTTCAGGTCCATTCTAGTGTTCTATGAGAAGTCCAGAGTATGGATCTAATGTTTGTCAGACTTTTCCATAGCCAGAGCCCTGCTGCTGAGTGGTTGTTTTTTTAAAAAAAAACCAGACATCAGAATGAACAGAAATCTGAACATGCTGAGATAAAAATGCAAGACTCACCTTTTCATTACAGCATCTCTCATGGGCACATTCAGTGGAGATGGCAAGGGCTAAGAGAAGAACAGAAGAGAATACAGGAGAATGAAGTGGGAATTCTAGAATGAGGGATTGGACGAGAGCCAGCTTCCCTTCTGGACATACCATATAACTGTTGTGTTTGGAACTTACATACTATAAGGATAGACAGGTCATGCTATCTTCTCCTAGTGCTTTTCTATCCAGTACAGAATCAGGCTGTGCAGACAAGTACTGCCTCTCACACTTCTGTTTACTTAATTGTGGTTTTCAAAAGATGGAAAAATTCAATTGCCTGCTAAACTGGCAGCCTAAAAATCTACATGAGGTTGAAGTCTCAGGCCTTTCTTTGGGGGGAGGGAGTGTACCTATGCTGAGCTGTGTGGCCAGGTGGGTGTGTTATCTGAAAAGTATTCAGCAAATTTAAAAAAAAACCTCTGAAATATAACACTATGAACCACTGAGAATACAAAATTTGTAAAAGTGTCTATCATGCACAACTCAGATATGGACCAATATAATGTAAGAAGTTCAATTAAATATTTTAGAACACCAGTGAATTGAGGGATTAGTTCAAATGAAAGCAAGTAACTGACAGCAATGGTCAGAGCAAGCATGGCTCAGATAGGCACTGTAGAAGTATTGTTACATGTCATGCCAAGTAACCCAAATCCTGACTAGTATCAGCTGTGCCATTCTTTTCCAAAATATCTCTTGCTATATGATGTATTCTGATGTTGCATGATGAACTGCTCTTATTCTCAGCAGTGTTCCACTATGTCAGTTTGTGGCTGTATATAGTAATGTACACTAGAGACGACAGGTTCCTAGCAGGTTTTCTTTGAGTTGCCAAGATAGAAAGTCAGCAAATTAAAATAATCCACTGGACCAAACTAGACTCAGTCACTAACTAAATATTTTTTCACACTGTTCAGAAGCAAAGCCACAAGACTTAGTTTTACATTTTAAGAAAACTCAGTCATGTGCAAAATACATCAATATTTTTCCATCAGTACTTGGTTACATTTTAAAGTGAGTGCAGTGGTTCTATACACATCTAATTCCAGCACTTTATTTTTAAACAAGATTTTATTAAAAGTGAATCTCCTAGAGATTCCTGTTACATCTTGGAAGGCTTTGGCATTGATTGAGCAAAACAGTTAAGCATGGGCTTAAAGCTAAGCACATGCTTAAGAATCACTGAAAAGAAGTGCTTAGCTGAATAGGTATGGAACTACACATATGCTTAACTGCTATGCTGCTTCGGAGACCCAGATTTTACAAACCTAAGACCCAGGTCTGCAATGTATCTTATGCAGTCAGTGTATGAGCTCATGAAGATCCCCATTCACTTCAATGTGTGTGTGTATAATGGTCCACCTGCAGAGCTCTGATAACAGGATTAGGCCCAAGAATTCCAGTTTATTTTCATAAATATTTGAAACAATGTATTCTCAGACTATAAAGCTAGCTCCTTACTGATATGTTTGTAATCCATTTGTGTACCACTAGGACTCTCTTATTTACATTGCCATATGATGCATAAAAATGCACCAGGAAAAAAACAGAAAGTGAATGAACTGATGGAATAGAATGAACAGTTTGTAGATTTCCCTCCATTTGTAGTTTTAGACAAAATTCTACAATGGATGTATTAAGTCAGTATTTTCCTTATTGCATCTCCAAAAATTATTTAGCGCAGGTAGATTTCTTCCCTCCCCACACCCCAAGCCTCCTGCCCTTCTGGGTTTGCAGGCCAAGAACATTTAAGCAATGACAATTCATCTATACCAGTGTTTCCCCATTTTATTTGGCCACGGAACCCTTTTAAACTCAAAAGAATTTCACAGAACCCCTAATAACAGTCTTGTATATGGAGCAGAGTGTCAGAGCAAGCTGGGAATGAGGGGTCTTGGCAGGGGGAGGGGAGTGAGTGAGGGGGATTTGGGTGTGGGGTCTGGGCATGAGGGGGGACACTTACCTGGCTTGGCACTCTGCTGCAGCAGGGAAAGCCTCCAGGCAGCATGCTGTCATTCTCCCCGCAAGGGGGCAGGAGAGGGAGCTCAGTCCCCCGCCTCCCTTGCAGCGGGGATCCCAGCACAGCTGCAGCACCAGGTCAGACTTCCCACTGGCAGGGACGGGGGTGACGTAGAACCCCCAACCTTCCCCGCCAGACCAGATTCTGCCACTTCCCCAGCAGGGTGGAGAGGGTCACAGGGGAGAGAGACTGGCAGCGCATGGGGGGCAGCGAGCCCGAGCGCACCCCAAAGGTGGGGGGGCAGAGCCCCAGCTGAGCTCCGCATGGCCCCTGCCGGGGCGCAGGCAGCAGTTTAAAAATGCCAAGGTCTGGGAGCGGCTACTTAGCACCTCAGACCCAGCTAGCCCTCCCCCTCCCAGCAGCAGCAGCTGCTGTGACAAGCCACCGTCTGCACACGAGGAGGAGGAGGCTGTGCAGCACTGGAGTCCCTGTGGGACAGGGGCCATCCTGCGGGTGAGGAGGGGGCCGCGCAGTTGCAGTGGTGGGGCAATTGCAGTGGGTGGTGGAGCCACCAGAAGCCCGCCCCCACAGGCACAGCTCCAATGAGAGCTGCCTACGGGCTCTGCAGCGGGTGGGGGAGTAGATTTTTCTTGCGGAACCCTTAGTTTCACTTTGCGGAACCCCAGGTTTCCACAGAACACCATTTGGGAAACACTGATCTATACGATTATAAAAGGAGAGGTGTCCGTCACATCGTCTGTCACAGAGAATATTGGAGAATACACAGAAATAAACTGGAAGACGTCCTCTCCCACCACACGCTTCAAAGTGGGAGGTGAAAAGCGGCACACCTCCCCCACCACCCGCACCAAAGTGGGACATGAGACTTGAAAAGCAGCACAATGGGTGCATGGGAGAAAAATGCAAGTGGTTGCCAGTGAGTTAGTGGATGAGCCATGACATTCAAGAATACATGGGAAGGGTAGGATGGGGTGGGCTGGGCTGGGGGCAGCTATTTCCTCCTCCCCCTCCTTGCACCAAAGTGGGATGTGACACATGAAAAGCAGCACTTGCCATTCAAGTTGCAGGGCTCAGCACCTCCCCAGCAAGTGGCCAGCAGGTGCAGGGAGGAGCTGGTGGTACCATGCATACCTGTGCCTGCTGGGGAGGGCGGCTCGTGAGCCAGGACCCCATGCTGCTCCTGCACCCCAGGGCAGCCTGTCCAGCAGGTGCAGGTGGTGGAAGCAGCAGAGTGCAGCAGGAGCAGCACCTCATGGTCCATCAAGCAGCTGCTGCCACAGCACGATAACTTCTCCAAGCAGCACGTTGGGCCCAGGGACAAAGAGAAGTGGGAGATGCTGTGAGTATTGTGGCCAGCAGTAAGTCCCTGCCTACCACACTCCACCCATCCCTCCTTTCTTCCCTCGGCCCCTCAAGCCAGTGCCCCCCGGGTCTTCCCGCAACCCGCCCTCCCCCTCACTTGCGTCCCACTCACTCGCCACACCTCTCCACCACATCCTCCTGTCTCTGCCACTCCTCAGCCTGCTGCACCGCAGCCATGAGGCTTGGCTCGGCTAGTGACAATAAAATACAGACAGAAAGTGACTTCCAAGCGCCTGCACTTGAGTAGTCATACCAGAAGCTGTATTAAATAGAATGCACTACTATTTGACATAATTAGAGGACAGAGATCTCTAACCTGCTCAAAGTCTACCAGACAGGCAACTAAATAAGGCAAGGAGGTATGCTCACACCATTGTCGAATCTCCATCATTGGAGATTTTTAAGAACAGGTTAGGCCAGGGGTGAGCAATAAGCACCTGCAGGCTGGATACAGTTTGCCAACATTAGCCCCTAGTGGCCCGCCAGACACTTTATTTACCTGTGTGTCTACAGGTATGGCCACTCACAGCTCCCATTGGCTGTGGTTCACTGTTCTCAGCCAATCGGAGCTGTGGGAAGCAATAGCCTGGCCCATGCTGTTTCCTGCAGCACCCAGTGGACAAGAACAGTGCTCTGCAGCTCCCAGGACCTGCAAGTGACCATACCTGTGGACGCATAGGTAATAACATATCTGCAGTCCCACCAGAGGCTAACCCCGGTGAACCACATCTGGCCCTCAGGCCACTGATTACCCACCCCTGTGTTAGACACACACCTTTCAGGAATGATCTAGTTATTACTTTATCCTTCCTTGAATGCTGGGGACTAAATTAGATGGCCTGTTGAGGTCCCCTCCAGTCCTACACTTCTGTGATTCTAGGATTCAAAAACAGGACTGTACACACACTTGTCTATGACTGAGGTTTTGATATGAAAAAAAACCAGTCCAGTTAACACAACATTCTTGGAAAATGTTCTGTGTGAAAGGACATTGTTTGATCCAGACTGGGAACAGGATTCTAAATACCTCCCACAGATAAAATTAAGAGTCAATTTTTGTGAGTCAATACTTGTGCTGAGTAGCACCCTCTTCTTTGATTAGATGAGACCCATTAGTTTCAAAATGAGTGAGACAAGGAACTGACCATTACAGTGGTTGAAAATGCAGTTGCTGTGAGAATGGAACTTCAAAAAATGAACTCTTCACCCAGTCAATAAGTCTTTCAACTTTGTTAAGAATTATGCTTTGGTCAGGGCTTGATTTATCTGCTCCATTCCTTCAAAATGTCATGTCACCCAGTCCATCTCCTGAACATAAGAATTCCCAACCATCCAATCAGGCAATAGATACAAGGCCACACAACTTCAGTGATCATAACTCACCAACACAGCTCACTTTTCAAATACTCACCACTAATTGCTCATAATCAAGCCTACAGAGAAGTCAAGGGAAATCTGCAATCTGCAGATTCTGCAAGGGTGGCTAAATTCATTACAAGTTTATTATAAAAGTAGTCACTGAATTATAGTCATTTCACTCTACCCACAAAGCTCCCAACACCTCCACATCTTCACTGCCCCTAGAACTGCAAACTCTACAGAACTGAGTTTGGTTGGTGATGTGGGGATAAAAAAATATTGAAGTCTTATCATTTAGAAACACTGCTAAAGAGGTTACTAAACATTTCAGAATGCTCTCCTCCCCCAGCC